ATAGTTGGTCCTGAAGAAGGTTGGCATGTCTGAACGCAGAGATACGAATTTAAAGAGACGCTAACTTTTCACCAACTTTGTATTGATCAGTGCGCAGTCTATTTGTCTCTTTAGCACAGTCCACTGCACTGCAGGTGATTATTTATTCACTTATAGTCCACTCTCGAAGTCTGATTGGGCGTGTCACCGGAAATGACGTGGCAGCCACCGCACTTGATAGAAGTTGCGCGGATAAGCTGCTTCCAACACGCTTTGCTGATATCTGGCGGAGTATTTTATCCACACAACATCTATCAAGTGCGGTGGCTGCCACGTCATTTCCGGTGACACGCCCAATCAGACTTCGAGATATGGACTGTATTTAGGATCCACTGTGGTATCGATCAAAATTGATAGCAGGTATCTTTCATGTCGAATAGGTGCTTGTTTGAGTTTTGAACTTTTCATGTGTAAGTGCTTGCATTGTTCATATCTGATGGAAAAGTTTATGGATGTCCATTATCAGTTTTTCATGTTGTCATTTTGTGAGAAATATGCGGCATTGTCGCTGCTGTTAATGTTATAAAATTGTGTATCTGGTTGTTTTGAGTTGATGAAAAGGATAACGTCAGCTATAAGAATCGTTTTGAGTGTTGCCTTGCTGTGTGCAGCCCTAGTTTTTGCTCCATTTTGTATAGGTAGGATGTACGCGTGGTTGTGGTTGGTTGACTTTGCTCGGTAGCCATTTGGATGCAGCCTTGACTAGATTCCGTTCATTTCAAAGATATGGATCTTCAATGGCCGTTTCGTAGTGAATCAGTTCACAAACACTACATTAAGGGGATTACTCAAGGTTGGGAGGAAGTATTGACAATTGCATCTGACCCTGATCCTGCCGTTCTTCTTCGTTCATTTAGTGGAGGTTGAAGTAGTCAATTAGTAGATTTGAAACATAATCGGTTACCAGGTAGCGTCGCACGCTGCTGCGGCGATGTGGAACGGGCGGTCAGAAACCTCAAATTTACCACGATCCACTACGACATTTGACTATTTCTTCCTGGCAGACTCTCATCATCTTTTTTT